TGAATTTCTGGATTTCTGAAATTCTAAATTTCCGGATTTCTGATTTTCTGATTTTCTGAATTTCTGAATTTCTGAATTTTTGAATTTCTGAATTTTTGAATTTTTGAATTCCTGAATTTCTGAATTTCTGAATTTCTGAATTTCTGAATTTCCCGAAATTTTCAGAATGTATAGTTCAAATTGGGACCACAACAGACCACAATTTTCTCAAACTCACTGGAATTCAGTGTGGAATCAGAATTCGTGAGTTTTCAGAAAAATTGGGAATTTTCAGAAAATTTGAATTTTTTGAAAATTCAAAGTTTCAGAAATCAAGACCAGCCAATCCAACAAAATTACAGTTTAAATTCAATTGGCAACAAAAATGGTTACAGGTGAGGAATTTCCGAAATTTCAGAAATTTTGATATTTTTGAAAATTTCCAAAAACTCAAAATTTTCCGATTCTTGTCGAGTTTGGGCTCATTTTGAAGCGTTTAACCTCCTAAATTGAAATATTATATCAAAAATTTCAAAAAAAAATGTGAATTAGGCTCATTTTGCGCGTCAAAATGAGTCCACACACGCCTAGGCTCCGCCCATTTTGATATTTCTGACGCGTCGCGGTCGTGCGTCGCATGCCGTGGGTGAAAATTCAAAGTGGGCGTAGTCTAGTCGTGTTTGGGCTCATTTTAAAGCTCATGATGAAAAAACGTTTCCCACCAAGACAACTACAGTAACCCAAAGAATTTTCAGGTTTCCACATCTGAGCAATGTCGCCTCAATTCTCGCTCATTTGAAGCCCAAAATTCTCGAGACCATCGAATTGGACTACAAAAAAATCGATAATCGATTGTGGGCGGAGCCTGGATGGTGGCGAAATTGGACCAATGGAAATGGGCTCGAAATTTGAATTTGAAATTTTGCTCCTCGAATTTCTTGAAATTTGAAATTTTGAAAAATTTTGAAAAAATCGATTTTCAAGAAACGATTATCGATTTGAGTGCGATGTCAGAGAGAGGTGCATTTTTTGGAAATTTTGAAAAAAAAAATTTCAAAAAAAATTTTTTTCAGATTTTCTCAAAATCTCCCAATTTCAAATCCTCGTTCATCAGGCTCAAAACGGCGTCTCCTTGGAATATTGAGGACTTTTTGGGCTCGAAAATCGATAATGGACATACAGTAAGACACTACAGTATTCCAGAAAATTCTCGGAATTTTCTGGAATTTCGATTCGATACTGATAGTAATTCGGTGAAGAAAATGGATTATAATTATTGATTGATTTATTGATTTATTGATTGCTCATTATTGCAAATTTATTTGATTGTTGGTTGTTATGTTTATTAATAAATTATTTTGAAAATTTGACAAATTTTGGATTTTTTTAGTTTTTGAATTTTCTAGGCCATGAGCTGTTTTTGGTGGTTTCTAGGCTAGTTTTTTTGTGAGAAACACGAATTTAAAGTTTATTTTAACTGAAAATCGGTGGAAAATCCAAAAAATCGATTTTTTCAAAACTTGGCACCGTGCCAAAAAAGTTTTTTTTGAGTGCAAGAAAATTGTTTCAACTGTATCTCAGCCAGTTTTCCTCTAATTCCGAAAACTTTAACATGTTTGCTTTTTTCGTAATTTCAGTTTTTCCAACCGTACACAGAGTCGAAAAAGGGGAATTAATGAACTTTCAGAGTCTAAAATTACTGTATCTCAGCCAATTTTTTTCAATTCAGAAAATTTTTAAATTTCCGAACTTTTCCTGCAAAGAGCTTCAAAACGAGTATAATCATGACCATATTCCGTGAATTTTCGAATTTCGACCCCCTTATGCGCCTTTAAATTCGAAAAATCGATTTTAAAGGAACACAGTCATGTTTATACTCATTTTGAAGCTCTTCACTTCCGGAGCTAAAAAGTTTAAGAATTTTCAAGTTAGCACAAAAACTGACCGAGTTACGGTAGTTTTAAAAGAAAGCCCTGTGCCAGGTACTGTGCCAAAAAATGGGTATAGAAAAAAAAACTTTAGAAAACACTGAATTTCTTGGTTTTTTGAGCTTCAAGACTATCAAATTCAGATTATCCATAAAAATCTACCCCAGAAACCTTGAAAAAACGGAAAAAATGAAGGTGCTTGTTTTTCTTCAAATGTTCTTCTTGTAATTTTTTACAAGGTTTTCGATCCGTGTTTAAGTCTCTGTCTGATATTATGCTGTTTTCAGTTTTTTGAAAGAATTATACATCTTTTTTCAGAAAAAAAATGCCGAGTACTTCTATGATTGAGGATCGAGGTGAAATTGAACGACGGCGTTTCGAATACTTGGATCATCCAGCGGATATTCAACTGCATTCTTGGGGAACAACAATCGAAAGAGCGTTTGAAGCATGTCTCGTTTCGATGTTTGGGTATATGACTGATTTGGAAAAAGTGGAGGAGGTATCACTTGTTGACAACTGATATAAAACTGATGAATATAATTCAGCAGTACGAATTCTATTGGAAAGTTTCTGGGGACAGCATGGACGGTCTCTTGTTTCAGTTTCTAGATGAAGCCCTCAACTCATTTCATGCTGAGCCTTGTTTTGTGGCAAAAAGAGTAGAAATTATGCGATTTGACAAGGAAAAGCTTGAGGTTGATTTTCTAGACAGCTGAAATTATTTCAATGATTCCAGATTGAATTCCGTGGATGGGGAGAGTCTTTTGACACGTCCAAACATGAAACCGAAGCTGACATCAAGTCCCCCACCTATTCAAACATGCAAATCATTGAAAAATCTGATCGATGCGATGTTTATGTCATTGTTGACATTTGATTTTTCCTTTCTCTCATTTCCCCATTGTTTCCCACTTTCCAAGTTTGACATATTTTCCTTTCTCTTATTTTTTAATTATTATTCGTTGATTACCGTCGAATTATGTCAATACGTTTCTAATTAAAATTGTTAAAATTTCAGGTAAAACATGGGCATCGATGTCAAAAAGAAGGTGCTGAAACGAAAACTGAAACAAATGAAGGACGGTCATGAGAAGAAAAAGGCCAAAGAAGTGGTAGAAGAGCAACCGATGGAGGACGATGATGGTGAAAAGGTAGAAGATGAAGAACAACAGGCTGAGGAGAATACTGGTACCAAGGTTTCTGAGTTCTTGACGAAGACAACTTTCGCATCATTGGATGGAAAAGTAAACTCAAATTTGTTGAAGTCGGTGCAAAGACTGGGCTTCACCACATTGACTGAAATTCAAGCCAAAACGATCGATCCGTTGCTTGAGGTGAGAAATCGCAGGAGAGTTTCAACTTTCAAAATATTAATTTTCAGGGAAAAGATGTGCTAGCCTCTGCGAAGACTGGATCGGGAAAAACTCTCGCGTTTCTGCTTCCTGCCATTGAACTCCTTCATAAACTGAACTGGAAGCAGCATAATGGAACTGGAGTCATCATCGTCTCGCCTACTCGCGAGCTTTCGATGCAAACGTACGGAGTGTTAACCGAGCTCTTGGAAGGTTCTAATTTGACTTTTGGACTCGTTATGGGAGGATCGAACAGAAGTGCAGAAAAAGACAAGCTGGCTAAAGGTGTTTCCATCTTGGTCGCCACTCCTGGACGTCTTCTCGACCATCTTCAAAATAGGACAACTTCCTAGTTCGCAATTTGAAATGTTTGATCATTGACGAAGCTGATAGAATTCTGGATATCGGATTCGAGATTGAGATGCAACAGGTTCTCCGTCATCTGCCAAAACAACGTCAGTCGATGTTGTTCTCTGCAACACATTCTCCAAAAGTTGACGAATTGGTAAAATTGGCTCTTCATTCAAATCCAGTTCGTGTATCAGTAAACGAGAAAGCAGAAGAAGCTACTGTCGAAGGATTGCAGCAAGGATACATTGTGGCTCCTTCTGACAAACGTCTTCTCCTTTTGTTCACATTCTTGAAGAAAAACAAGACTAAGAAAGTGATGGTCTTCTTCTCGTCATGCAATTCAGTCAAATTCCATCATGAGCTTCTCAACTACATTGACGTTCCGTGCATGTCTATTCATGTAAGAAAATCTAGGTTTAACTAATTGTACAAAAAACACATTTTTAGGGAAAGCAGAAACAACAGAAACGTACTTCAACATTCTTCACGTTCTGTCAAGCTGAAAGTGGAATTCTCCTCTGTACCGACGTCGCTGCTCGCGGTCTGGACATCCCAGCGGTTGACTGGATCGTTCAGTACGATCCTCCAGATGAGCCAAGGGAATACATTCATCGCGTTGGACGTACGGCGCGTGGAACAAATGGAAGTGGAAAAGCACTGCTCGTTCTGAGACCGGAAGAACTTGGATTTTTGAGATATTTGAAAGCTGCGAAAGTTACTTTGAATGAATTCGAGTTCTCATGGAACAAGGTAATTTTTTTTAGTTATATGGTCATTGATCTGGTCTTTGAAGTTCTACTTTGCAACAGGTTTCAATTCAAGTGAATTGGATGTCATCTTAGATTGACTAATCGAAAGTGCACTTCACTTCAAAAGATCCAAAAATGTAATTGATAAAGACGGAACTTGAGTATAATATCAGTTGTTTAAATTGTAGATTTGAAAAGTAATGATGAAGATTTGTACTTTTACAGGTGGCCAACATTCAAACACAGCTGGAGTCTCTCATCAGTAAAAACTATTATCTCAACAAGTCGGCAAAAGAGGCATACAAGTGCTATTTGAGAGCGTATGATTCCCATTCACTGAAGGTGAGTCTATACACAAAGTGCATCGTCTTCCAAAAAAATAGAGGACATGATGACAGGACACTAATTGTTCACGAGATTCGTTCGCCTTCCGGCTATAGTTTCGAGATGTCCGGCTACAAAATACTTGTTCAACACCTTCGTAATTCAAATTTTTGCAGGACATCTTCGATGTGACTACTATGGACCTAACAGCTGTTTCCAAATCATTCGGATTCTCCGTTCCTCCATTCGTCGATCTTCCAATCAGTAACAAGCCGAAGGTATGGTGGAAAGAAGGGCGCTGAAAAGCTAAAATAGAAGATAAAATTTTGAATATGAATTCATAATCGAAATCTGAAATTTCAAACAAGTTTCAAATTGCAGGTGGAGATCAGATCCAAACTTTCCGGGGCCGGATACCGCAAGAAGAAGCAGTCGTTCAGTTTCAAGACGAAGAAATGAGAGAAGATCCGGCACATCAAAATTGTTATCTTTTTTTGTTATTTTTGTTATCTCGTTTACTCCTTTTTATTCAGTCTTCCCCCATTCTATGATCCATTTATTGTTCCTTTGTTGTTCCATCGAAATCTTTAATAAAACTGTTTCAGTGTGTCACAGGAACCAACATTTTCCAGCTGTTTCATATCGTTTCGTCTCACTTTTTTGAGATCTAGAAGCGAAAGCTTCTCGTTCTCGTTTTCACCTTTCTAGCAACACCACCACCATACACACAAAAAACGAAGATATCGAAATTCTGCTAGAAGGAGAAGGAGGAGACGGGAAGATATCATCTAAATGTCATGTGTACATATGTAAAGTTGTTGCGCAACTGTCATTTCATGATATCTTCTCCGTCTTCTTTTTCAGACGACCGCTTCTTGTTCCCCTCGTCTCTTCTGAATTCTCATCCTCCAAACTTCTTCGTTTTGACCCCGCCCACCTCCCACTTCTTCCACTTTTTTTTTGAAATTTCGACGCCTACTCAGGAATCCTCCCGGTATAAAAACATTCGGGCGAAAAAAAATAACCTAAGAAATTCAAAATCCCGCCTTCTATTTTCCCTTTCTCAATGATCTTTGCCTACCTTTTATTTCTAATAGGTCATCGGATCTCAGCGATCCCAATTCCAAACGGTTTACTAGGCAAGTTTGCTGTATTCTAAAGAAAAAGTATCCAACATTTAGAAACTGATAATTTAAGCGGCAACATAAGACTCTTTTTAATAGTCACTTTCATTAGTTGTTAGTCTATACAAGTCGTAGTCATATGACGGATTTCTAATAGCTTAGCAATCAATGTCAGAATAGAAGAAAACTATAAGAAATTTTATGTTAATTGTTTGAGACAAGGCGACGCAGGCAAATGGTGAAGAAAGTTGAACGGAAACGTCTTTATAGATGTTAAGAGATAAAGCTTATATAAAGTTTCAAAGTTTCAGGAAATGTTGAGGTTGAATGCACAGATACAACAATCGAAGCAGTCTTTCTCACAGAATCCAACTTTCTAGGTTTTTTATTTATGATTTGCAGTCGCCTAATCGGAAATATGTTCCAGGTCGAGTATTTGTTTTGGGACATTCTGCTGATAAAGAATGTGTGTCTCGAGAAGTTGGAAGACGTACAACATCGATTACTGTACCTCGAGATAAATGTGGAGTTGAGACTGTGCAACATGGAAAAGGAGCTGGCTACACATCCTCTGTAAACATCGTTATCTCATTCCATGATAAGTTCCTGACGAAAGTTGACCGAGTGAGAAAAAAAACTTGAATTTATTCCAAAGTTTTTGTATTCAGGCTTACAACATCACTTGTCTGTACGCACCTACTGGGGATGTCGTTTCATACGCATTAACTGTTCAACCATCGGTAAGTTTAACATTTGTTGAGAATTCCTACAAATTGAACTTCAGCTTCTGAAAGACATTCAAGTTTTGGCTGATCAACCAAACTGTGAATACGAGGTATTCGATGTCAGAACTCGACGCCCAGCAGACGTTGTACATGTAAATGCACCCCTGGAACATGTGTGGACATGTGATGGAGCCAATCTTGGTTAGTCTTGGAACATTTCAACTAAAATCTCAAAAGTCAAAATCCAGATCTATTCTGCATGCGAGTACATGACTGTGTAATCAATGAAGGAAAAAACAAGAGACGATCGAAAATTATTGATTCTGAAGGATGCTCCCTTGACACTACGCGTCTTCCGAATCTCCGTTATGACAACAACAAGCTCTCAGCTCGAGTGATGTCGAAAGCATTCCGATTCGGAGATGATGTCGCTGTTGAGTTTGAGTGCAACGTACGACTGGATCTCAAAAACGGAACATCGTGCCCCAGGCCGAGATGTTGATCTAGATGCTTGTTTAAATTATTTCTGACTACTAATATACGTGTTGTTGAGCTAATATATTTCTCATCTTACCATTAGACTTCGATTCCCTCACTGCATTGGTCTGAATCCGATCAAAACGTTCTAAAATTTTGGAACAGAATTAAATATATAAAGTGTTTGACTTTATTTTTCTTATGATGAATAGTAATAGCACCAAATTAAGAGAATTAAAAAATGCCAGCTCCTGGTTTTCTTCCTGGCCATGCTTCCTTCGCATATCGTTTTTTGTGATGGTCTTCCAGTTCTTCTTCGTTTTGCGCCGTGACGAACTGATGTTGACCTGGTTCTGGAAGCGTTTTCCCGTAGAGTTCGAGATCTGGAGCAGAGTTCAACGCCATCGGTCCGAATGTTGAAGAAAGTGGAGCTGCTATGAGATCTCTTCCTGGTCGAACCACTTTCCTCGGCGGCTCTGATCGTTTCGGATCTCCTGGTCGTTTATTTGGATTTGTCGAAATAATGGCAGTTGTAACCAGGTTTCGGAATCGGCCGACAGAAGGATCGACGTCTTCTGGATTGATAACTTCTTCTTCTTCTAAGAATGCCACGTTTCCACGTGGTCTCTTCTTCCGACGTGCTTCCTCAACTGAGATTGGTAGCTGAGGAATCCTTCTGTTTTGGGCAGTGTTGTACGATGTTTGATGCTAAAAACTTTCAGATACAGGGAATACGAGGATAACTATTATTACATCTAGTTGCTCTTCGGAAGCAATCACTTTTGGGTCATCTTCCACAATATGTTCCGTTTTCAGTCGAACTGCATATTTTCGAGTTGATGCTCCAAGGTGAAATTGAGATCCTGGGTCCATGAAAAATACTTCGAGAGGGCGAAGGCGAACGCTTCCGAGAAATGTTCCATGACCTGAATCAAACATTACAATACCCTAATTAATTTTTAGAAAAACACTTACTACTTCCCATATCTACTAATGCAAACCTCTGCAGCAAACCGTGGTAAATAATGAGGGCATGAACTCTGGAGCATGAAGCATGCTCGACTGCGAAGTCGACCTAGAACATAAAAAATTAGAAATTTTTTGTTACAAAAGGACTTACCTGTTTGTTATTTCTGCCAAAATAATACGCTTTTTTGTCGTCAATCAATAACTTCTGAATAGGTAAATCGTTCGAAACCAGTATAATTTTTTTAACAAGCCTGAATCAATGCGTCGCCTTTATATACATCTAAATGTGCTCCGTCTGGCGGTTTCACAGCCCATGTAGGAATTTTAAACTTGCTTTTCTCATCGGCTTCTTCCATTTCTGGCTTAATATCAGCTGGGTTTGAATTTTAACGACGAGGAAAATATAGGTAATGTGAACGCGCTCCAGTGAGTCAACTGGATAAAATTTGGAAAAAGGAGGGACATTCAAAAAACGTTAGAAAAAGAACAAGTTTATTTGACAATTTTTAAACAAAAAAATCAGGTTACTATTTAACTGTAAGTTTAAGTTTACTTAATATACTCGATGAATGACCCTACAGGTTTAAGATGGAATCAGATAAATTTCGGGTGAATGATTTAGATAAAGATAAAAAAGTGTGTATCAATAAAATATATCAGTTGGGGACCTCAAGCGGGAAGTTCATTAAATGATTTCATTAAATGATTTATACTTCGGCCATAGCCAGTGGATGAGAGCTGGTGGATTGGGTGCGTGGGCGAGTCTCGAGTGGCAGAGAATATGTTCGGCGGCGCTTGTTTCTAGCCACGACAATAGTTGTTTCGTCTGAAATTTGTGAGCATCGCGGAAACGTATGCAAACTGTTGACTTACGGCAAGCATTGAAATGATTTCCGTTGCTGGGAACTCTCACTTCGTAAACGTCCTTTGAGCATGTCGCAACTTTTGGAACCTTCAACTTCATTCGAATATTCGGCTCTATGAACTGATTCGCAGTGGCTCCATCACCGCCTGTCTCGATACCGTCATCTTTGGTTCTCAAGCACCAGAAAATGGTGAACACCAGCCCGATCACGTTCACAACCATTACAGTGACGATGGCTGCACATGTCGCAATGGCTTGAAGGTTCCATTGTAAAGGCGGGGGTATAATCAGATCGTCATTCATTTTCGGTTTAACTGCAAGTTATTAATTCAACTGAGACTGTCGATTCGAAAAAATCGCGCAGATGAAAGCATAAACCATCAAATTGTTTATTAACAATGGGCGCATTTTCTTTTGTTTATCGTAGAAACGACGAATGAGGGCGGAGCTCATTTTTTGTTTTAAACAACTTTTTATGATGAATAACATGTAACAGCAATACGAATTTATCCGCGCGATTTTTTGAATGGACAATAGGAAATACACTTATCGAATACAATTTGCACAAATGACCTTCAATGAGAACGACAACAACAACAAGAGTGAAGGCAGCTGGGAACAGTGGGTAGGGAGGAGCGTTTTCAGTCAAGGCATAGTAACTATAGCGCTGCGAGATATTCAGCAACGGGAGAAACGGAAAAGAAAACGTGCGCAATCTTGAAAAGGTTGATTTTTATTAAGTCATATGAAAAATCTCTGAAATCAGCTTATTGAGAACTTCTCTATGATTAGCTTTTTACTATATTTATGTCATAAATATGCTAAAACATCAGTCTTTGGAAGCTTCCGCGATTTCTCCCGTTGCTGAGTATTCGTACAACCTTTGCAAAGCTTTGAAAGTATGAAACGAGAAGTCTCTCAAAAATTCGTAGCTTTGATGTGCAGGTTGACCTAATTAGCAGTGGGTTTTCGAAGATTCAATGATTTAGGTTGTTGACTGATAGTGTGCAACTTTATATTTTTGTTATTGACTAAAACAGCTTCAAAATTTAAACAGTAGGTTCAGAAAAAAAGAAAATTTGTACAAAAGACCACCAACGAAGTTCAAAGAAAGAGCGACGAAATTTTTCTAGCGGTACCGTAATACTCCTTAAAGGACGCTGAATGGTAAAGTTTTCGATGGTCCCACAGCGCTGTTGTAATTACTAGGTTGCGCCTTTGAGGAAAGCTACGGTTTGAAATGCAAAAAAAGCACACGGAATTTCACATAGCGATTGGGTTTTAGCATAACAAGCTCTCCCACAGAACAATTCCGAACTCACTTGGGTTCAAGCGAGGGGGTCAGAAAAAGCGCCCCAGCAAACTCGTAGGCCAGAAGAAATTTAATAATTTTAAAATGAACGCGGGTTTGAACTAGATCATGATCTCTTTCTTAAAAATCAACGGGTTGCAACGCGCGTATTCTCGCTCATCCTTTAAAACTGTGATACTCAGCCAACGAAGTTCGGCAGCGAATTGAGAACTTTTGAAAAATTTACTGGGGCGCGCTTTCTGACCCCCTCGCGAACTGCAAATTAATTTTTGATCTACAGAAAAAAGTTTGGCGCGATCACAATTGCAGGTCTAAAACCATAATTTCAGAATTTTTTATCTGATTTTGTGAAGTTCCAAGATGACTCAAATGATTCTTTAAAAAATTAATTAATGGTTATAGATTCATGTATGGTCGTTTTCCGGAAGAAAAAATGTCAAAAATGGTCTTTTTTGAAAGTTTTTTACAGAAAAAATCTATCTCCTCTTTCAGTTTTTGACATTTCTAGGAGTTCTATATCTCAAAAAAAAACCGCAATTATTTTCTCTACATTTTCTATGGACAAATTTTTATTTCGTCTGATAAAACTTTTTTTATAAGGAGGCTAACGCCCAAGCTAGTGTTATCAAATATTTTGTTAGAGACCTTACTATTGTTGAGAACTCAAACCCCAGACCCCTTCCCAAAGCCCCTGTACAGGGAGCCGCTCCCTCCTCTGTTTAAAAGTATAAATGTCCATTCAAATGTTATTGTCTGTCCAACCGTGGCACCTCGTCCCGTCTCCGATATCTCCCCGTGTCCCATCGCCGCCCCAGTTTTGTCCCCCTTTCCCTTGAAACCCCTCCCTAAAACGAACCCTTTACCTGCTTCCGCAGCCAAATCAGCTGTGATAAATCTCTCCTGCAAACTCCCCAATGTCAGATCTATAGCATCTGCAGAACGCCTCCAAGTACTTCACTCTGACATGCTAGACAACCAGATCGACCTTCATTTTGTTACTGACTCCTTTCTCTCCTTATCCGTCCCTGACTCTCTCTCCTCATCTTCGACCCTTCATTTTCTTCGCTTCGACAGACGGTCCCCTAACCCTAAGGGCAAGGGAGGTGGCGTCGCGGTGTTGGCCCGCAAAGACATATAGCTGGTAGAGGCTGATAGTCTCAGCTCCCAGTTTTACCCCCTACACCACTGCGAAATTATCACTGTCGACCTGCTTCAGGTAAGTTGCCGAAATTACCCGCAGATAAACTGGTCTTCTGATAACCTTCTGCCTAATGATATGCCTGCTGGCCTGGAAAGCCTGATGTCACTATTCGATCTGACTCAGATAGTAGACTTCCCAACCAGAACCAGTCATTGCGGTGCTGAAAACTTCTTAGACCTAGTATTTTGTAACAAGCCGCAACACATCTCGAACACCGTGAATCTTCCACCCTTCCTGCTCTCTGACCATTCCTCTGTCCTCTTCGAAACAATCCTACCTAGTATTTCTCCTCCTTCACCCATCCTCAACACTACCTCGTCAAAACGTCTAGACTATATAAAATGTGACGTCAAGCGTCTTTTGGATCATCTTTGCTCTTACAACTGGCCCAGGCAGCTATCTTTCTTCTCCACGGTTGATTCGAAACTTGCTCATTTCTCCGCCATTTTCAACGAGCTCGTAGTCCTCTACACTCCAACCGTCCGTGCTCATCGTCCAACCTTCTCGCGTAGAAAACCCAAGGTTTTCAGGTTCATCCAACGTCGCAACCCGTCCCTCCCTAGACCCCAGCTCAAACTGCTTGTTCGGCGACAGCTCAATCGAGTTAAGAGGGCGCGTGCAAGGGAGGAGCTTTCTATTATAAACAACGAGAACCCCAAAGAACTCTTCCATTTCGTTAAATC